AGCGTTGTTATACTGGCTATAGTGAGCATTAACAAAGCTTTGTTATACTGGCTATAGTGAGCATTAACTATACTATGTTATACTGGCTATAGTGAGCATTAACTAAACTATGTTATACTGGCTAAAGTGAGTATAAACAAACCTTTGGTATACTAGCTTTAGTTGTTATGTTACAGTCGTTGGGTAATCGTGTAACAATCGTAAAACAATAAATCACTATTGTAAACAATCGTTGAATCATACAACAATCGTAAACTAAAGCTATAGTAGATATTAACGTCATATTTGATTGAAATATCAGCTGTTTTATGATTCTTATTAAGTGGCGGGCTCTTTATGTGTGTGAAGAATTGGACATAAACAAGACAATAAACACTTGTCCGAATTTTTAAGAAACACTTCAATATTTCATAAATTATCATTGGGAACAACTTTGACAGAACAAAGGTTTTGTATTCACATTATAAACAAAATATTACTCTTAAATATACTTTTCATTGACAAAATGAGATGGTTTTCTTACACATGTGAAGACGCCTTAAAAATCACATGATAAAATACATATATCATTGCATTCCTACAAACATATGATTGTTTTTAATGCCAGGGATTTGTTTGAGCTCTACATAATGGATAATAGAATAACGACATTTTGTAAGGTAAATCATTTTTGCTATACTACAATGTAACAACTTTAGATAAAAAATACGTTTTATACATACTTCTATTGTTATCACTATGTGATAGCTCTAGTCATGTGTTAAAAGAATATGGAAGTGATAACAAACTCTTAATTGATAAAACTAGTGCAAAATATGAACAAAGGAAAGCCTTGCATGGAGACCCTTGCAAATGGTTTACTTGTTCTGTTTGGTAGATTAAGTTTAGGAAAAACATCTCAGTTGGTATTTTCTTGTTTTCACCTTTTATTTGGTCAATGTTCGTTTACAAATTTTTTAATAACTTATTGATATACTAGAAGCAAGCAATGCATGTGAAATGTCCTCATAATTTTGCTGAAATTGATACATTTTAAAAAAGCCAGATGAGTCACTGTATTTGTTTGCATGTTTGTTTTGGGGTTTGGTTAACGTTCTTGCAACATACATGGTCAATGCGTTGTAATGGTAGGGGTAGAGGGGGTCAATTTTGGTCGCCTCACTGTCCCCTAATTAGTTGGAAACTACCTCTGATTCAGCAGCAGACCCTCATAAGTGGCCTCTTACGATTTGCAATAGGATACATATACAGAATGTACATGTATGTTCTTTCTTCAAACCTGTTGGGGTTGGCAGTTCTTGTGGACGATTTTTGTCCTTATGTGGAATAATAAACATTTTAGTAATAAAATTTAAAATTCCGAGCCTCTCTATTTTACCTCTATATTTCTATTAGTTTATCTATTGAAGTGTGGAATCAATACGCAAGGTTAAACATCTATCACCATGATTCATAATAGGATATTAAAGAACAATTTATTCATGACATTCGTGCAAAATTAATCTAATAAAAACGATAAAAAGACGGAAAAACAAAACAACAAACAAACAAAAAGGAAAAAAATAGAAAACAAAAACAAAATAACAATAAATGAATGAATGAATGAATGAAAAGAATGACACATGGCTCTGAATACCATGCATTTACAAAATAATAGAATTCAATTTTATCAAACCATTTGCCAGCAAACACTCACGTAAGCACGCATACACAACACACATGGAGGCACGTCCGTAAATGACCTTAGCTGTTAATAGGACGTTAAACAAAATAAAACCAAAATCATTTGTATATTTTCTCCGACAGATCGTAAGTTCGTTTTGTACGTGCACCTCTCCATAGCTTTGGTAGAGTGGTTTGTCGAAGCAAAACCATTGCTATATCCTTCTAATTATATCTAAAGATGCGGGGGTGAAATTTCTACGAAAATATGCACAGACTTATTTGTATTGTCAATTTTATCCAATGTATATATTTTTTTAATTATTATTGTAGTTTAAAGATTCTCTTGAGCATACTGGAAGCAGATTATATTTACATTAAATATTTTAATACAGATTAATCTGTTTTCAGAAACAGCTTGGCTTATGATAAGAGGTATAATAAGACATTTATATCTTTTACTGACGTACAAAATTCCTTAGTACACACGTTTATGAAGGTGGCGAACTTGGTCTTGACATTAACTGACGGGCACCACCATCTGGAACACATACTCGTAGTAAAACGTACAGACCACATGCAGCCCAAATGTTTGGTGTCCAACATTATATGTGCAGCACAAACCAGACAATGTAAGGGTTTATGTGTAGGAATATCCGGAAAATATATAAAACATGTTTTAACTTTTAACACCATTTTACGTCTTCCCGTAGAGTATCCATGTGTAACATTTTTCACTTGAGAAAGCATTGTAAACTTGGATTCCAAAAGATTGTCATCTGATATGATTTTTTTTGATATTCCGTTAACTGACCATCAATACAACAACGAAACAAAGTGTCGAACGGAGGGTTTTGGAATTATTTCAATGTGTAAATACTTACATTGGGGTAAAGTGGAACTGTTTTCATTTTAAAAGTAAATGAATGGAAAAGAAAATATACGTCTACATAGTAACGGTAACCCGACAGTATAAAGGCGCAGACGACCAAACATTACTATAAAATGCAGCGAGATAGTTTTTTTTCTGAGAGTAAGCGCTATACGGCAGCGACGTTTGGCAATTCTTGAGGAAAATCAAACCTGTGTGGTCGTCAATCTTCGGAAAGCTCGTACAGTGTATGAAATTCTCATAAAAGTCGCTGACATCTTCCTGATCGCGGAGTCGGTTCAAACGATCACAAATGTTACGTACATAATATTATGACGATCCAGGTTTTGAACGTATGTAGGTCGGTGTTAAATCCATATTGTCTGCACATGTACAGAAATAGATCCTTCCTATGGTACACTTTATAGTGTATAGTCAAAAATATCGCACTATAATATATATTATTTATTCCTAAACCAATTATTGCTCCGTGTTGTTCGTAAATGTCCGTGTCTAAAAAAGATTGTTTCATAAAATATTTTCATGAAATCGTCTGATATTTTTTTCATCTTTGTCGTTTAAGAGGCTAAAATCTGTTTTCAGTAAAAAAGTGGTAAATGCATTCTAGCTGGAAGCGATTGGTTTATCATTGGGTTGTCAAACCGGTTAATCTGTCAGTTTGGTAAGCCAATAATAAACAGCAACAATCACAATATATGTGTAGAAAATGATTTGTCTAAAACGTGTTTACATCACAAACATAAATAATTTAGCATGATAGTTTAATCGCGTATTGCTTGACAAACGCAGGAAATAGTTGCACGTAACCTAAGTTAGTACAATAGTGTATATGTCATGGACAACAAATGTAGGAATGCAGTAAGACGGGATTCAACTACAGTAATTAGTTCTCGAAAGCATATATGCGGTAATATTGTTGTTCAGAAAAGAATTTGCTTGACAAAAGTTTTAAGACATGCTTGTTGAATCAAGTGTTTACACTTCAGATTATATTTACATCTCGCATGTAAAAAGCACGTTCTATCTCTTAAAGTTCATATTTCACATCTTTGTATTCTAGCTTTCTGTTAAGAATCTGTTCAGATTTTTTATGGTGTTGGCGACATCTCTTTGCCAGTTTTTACAATAGAGTACAAAAACAACACTAACATGTTATCCCTGAACACTGTTTGTATCACAAAACTATTCGATTTAGGTCGCATCTATAGATAATGTGTAGGTCTATGACGGGGAAGCATGGGGCTCCTCAAAGGAATAAATAAATGTCAAACTATTCGGTTATTGATTTTGGTAACCGGTTCGTTGTCTTCCGACCTAGTAACCGGTTAAGCGGCTAACCGATGAAAACCCTTGTTTCAAAATAATATTATTATCCCTGCTTCATAAACTTCTTTGGATTTCACATTTCGATATGTTTGATCATCATAACAGAACACATGGCTAGTGGTAGCCTAGGTAAAGTCCGAGTTATTTAAACGGGAGAAGGGCCGGTTGAATCGAGCATTTGGCTTCGAACCTAGCCATTAAACGCATTTCCGTCTTTTGTTACCGTGGAATCTTTGCACGAGGCAACCACCTATGAAAGGTTAAACTGTGTTATAAAATGAAACGTTATTGAAAGACACGATTTTATATGAATGACCGTATTTAGATACTGAAATTTGGATTACAGATTTAAAACTACTATTGTGATTTGAAAGATGCAATACAAATACAAAACAATGTATTGGTATAATGTGTGGTGCTTTAAAGCCTCGATATCGTGGGCATACGCTGTCGTTTTATTTGCCGATAAGCTGTCATATACAAACGTATGAAGGGCCCATGTTCATTTTTTTTAATTTCTTTATAGGTTAATCTCGATATATCACCACACTCCTTTACAATATACCACATATTTCTGGATATTTCCTAACTGGAGTGATATGACGAGGTTTTAATGAAAATTGTTCTTCGAGATATATATCGACTGATTCTAGCCTTCCGGTTATTTGTTTGCAGTTTCGTTTTACCTGTGATTTCTTTTCAAAACAGTGACGAAAACAGACGAATAACAAACCTGTCAGAGACAAATTACACCTGTCTCAATCAAGGGAACAACAGATTTCTCTTTTAGTAAGATTATAGTGTGTATATTTCCATTTGTAAGAACAGTTGTAAATGGCGATAGTTCAGTATCCCATCAGGTGTACGTACTTGATACGTTTTAACGTGACTTTGGATGCAAGAATTGTTAGCATACATTAGTAAGATAATAGCAACGCCGCTAAAAATGTAATTAAACTGTTGCTATTGTGTTCAAAATACCATGTATTGGAATTCAAATTACTCGCTTTTTGAAGAAATGCTGAACATAAAATAATGAAGAATTTATATCTTGACTGAAAACTCGTGAAAACGAAGAAACGTAGTGAGTGGTACTATAAGGCAGTGGTAATTCATTTATATGTGTACATCATTGATACGCTCGCCGTACCGTGCAGACACTGGCTAACTCGAGAAGGGGACCATATGTAAACAATAGTTACTGCAATCCCGTAAATCAAACATCACATCCCCGTTGCTTATCTGTCAAGGTGTGGGTTGAGGAGTAAGTTATCAACGGAGAGGCCCTTCTCGTCTCCGTATCAAGCACTCGCAGTGTGGTTGTTACACGTTATTATTGAAGGGTTGAGTGGAAGGGTTATCCATGTGTGATTCAGTCGTCTCCATCGAGTAGGCTTCAGGCGATAGCCATTGAATGGACAAGAACTACCTCACTAACACACTGGAGTATTATTATATACAACATTTCTATTTATTACCAGCAGGACGGACCATTGCGATTTGCGTTATAAACAATATACATTGTACTCACCTCTTACTGTGCTGATGTAGTGACCTACTTTATATTACCAGATTTCTGGGGTTTGCAAGAGAGAGCTGGTTTTTCTGGAGCATTACGACAACCTCAAAAACGTCATTTCTGGCGATATTTGCTGATTTTAAGCTTGCCTCGAGTTGTATTTCTTACTTTTTTTCGGCATTTCATAATTGGACATTCAAAACATGGCGATGCAAAAGTTTCGCGCGATGGACGATGGTGAATTTCAGGAAACTGGTAAGGTTAGCTTAAACAAACGCATTCTTTACCTGCTATTGGTTCTGTTAATAGTGGTTCCGATCGTTGTAGGGGTCCTTGTGTGGTATCTAGCACCACCGAGGTCATGTGACAATTTACCAAACGTAGAGGGAGAGAGTGGTGCAAACACCGGATCTGAAGTCACTACCACCACAACAACAACGGAAGTACCGAACTTCGAAAGTGAACCGTGGAAAAATCTGCGCCTCCCGCGTTATATTATACCCGTGCATTATGATATCACACTTTTCCCGGATATATATAACGGAAACGGATGGTTTTATGGGAACGAATCTGTAGAAATCCGCATCACCAAGGATACGTCGTATATTTTGATTCATTATTACTACATGAACATCACCAAGACAATGCTCAAGAATAATTCAAGTGGAGCTACAATCCCAATAAAACGGACGTTTTCGTACGCGGAAAACCAATTCTGGGTTATCGAGACTGTATCCCCGTTGCTGAGTGGTGCTGTAGTCCGCCTAGAGACGCAGTACGACGGCTCTCTCACCCGGTCCATGGTTGGACTCTACAAGAGTCGATATGTCAACTCGATCACGGGGGAAACCAGGTAAGTTAACCATAATTTTGTGAATATTCATCCTCCCGCAACCAATTGTTTTAAAAAAGGTTTTTCGAATTCCGCATATTTTGGGGTGGTATTAGAAAGGTTGTTGGCGACTAAATCTTGATTGTTTTTTAAAAGTTTCAAATCTATAGGACGAGGAACAAACATTTCAATTTTTTATTTTGACGTTGAATATCATTATGAATCAAAACTAGATAGGATGTGCAAATGGAATGTTGGTACCGAAAAATAATTCTAGTCTACATTGATTTATATTTACCTAGCAATGGAGCGCTCCGTGTTTGGTCAGCTTTGTAATAATTTCTTCAAACATGTCCTATAATTATTGTTAAGTATATATTGTTAACGTATAGAATACTTGTGAAAAACGATTCCCTCTGGCTGGTACCAAATGTGGCGCAGGAAATGGTAAATTTTCTTGAACAACTCATTTTGCTCCGTTTTTCAGGGATTTGCGATGCCCCACCTTTTTTGTGTGTGTTTTCTCTGATGAAGTTGCAATTTATACATATAACCTGTATAGTTGTAGTATAACGCTGTTGTGTCTATTGTAAATGATGTTTTAAATATAATCATTTTCTCAGAACTTCATTACAACAATAGCCTAAAAATAACCCCACACATTCCAAGAAAAAGACTTCCCTGTAATTTTACCGATCTTTTATGATAATTTAATGTCAGATTCGTAACCGTCATGACACATGTCAAAACAGTTTGTGACTAATTCCAGCATAAATAGAAATATACCTAACTTTACAGAAACGTTTGTAAAGATACACAGGGTAAATGTAAGTTCTCCATTTATAGGCCTAGTTGTCCAAAGCATGGGTATCCTAGCGACCGGTTAATAGAAAATTTCATCTTATTGTTTTTTAAAATATTGAATTTATAATATATTTATATAAATATAAGAAACACTACAGTCAACAAGATCGCTCGACGATGAATATAATGGGAAATGTATGAGTACAATTTAAATATTTTGTTTTGAAATAAATCATCGAAAAAATAAATTTCCAACTAGTTAAGCTGACAATGCTGTGATAAAGCGAATAACGGGTCAAAGTTCACCAATACACGTACAAGACGTAATGATTTTGTTTCTGCAATATAAGCTGTTAAAACACCAGTACTGCCAAATTATATTACTTACGTGTGAGATGTGTCCGTCTTAACATAAAACAGATGGTTATACCTATTAGTGACTTTGCTCGATGCATTCGTATATCAGTATGTAATGTTAATTCTGAAAGATTGATTTACGATTTAGATATAACATTTCATATTTAATTGATCATGAAAAAGGATCAATCATAATAAACAATATAAAAATGCAATGCATACGCATGCCTGGATGAGGTATAAGGTGAACTTATGATCTTTTTCCATTTATTCCAACTTTATTATTTGTTTCAAACATCCGGACCAATACAGGTGAACAGCAACAACTAAAGATAACCTGAATTAGATATCAAAATATCAAAATCAATAAAAAAGGTCAATATGAGGAAAATATATTCACTGTATAAAAATGGAATTATGGTAGATTTTTGTATTCAGTAAATGAATGGTTTTATCAACCAGAGAAAAAGCATGATAGATTATAGTTATAAATTAGTACAGTAGGAGCTACCATATTATGTTTTCATTGGTTTTGTATGAAACGACAGCACAGTTCAATATAAAAGTGTTTACCGAGTTGTCATCAAACTTTGTCTTTCTACACAAACAACGTACGTATTAAAACGTGTCGCAACATTTCAATACCGACTTTTCCCTTTGTCAAGCTATTACTGAGTGAGCGATTTGTATTTTTTACTTGTACAACGATGTGACGATTTGATTTTGGGTGTAAGCGCGATCTGTTAATGCCGATTTATTGTACTGGGTTGCGGATGTTTCGTGTGTGGATCTGGTGAATGTGATGTTGCTCATTTTCTCTACGTCCTTTGCTTTAAGACACACTCAACCGTTGTGGCTACCCCGACTGGTCAATTAACAAGGTGAAAAGAGCTGTAAAAGAAAAGACAGAAAATAAAATACCGAGACAGAATAAAAGATATAAGAGCCAAACCAAAAGCAAAGGCTGGGTCACTATACCCTACGTGAAGGTGACATCTGAGGCGTTTTGCCCGGATGATGAGGAAACGCCATTTTAGAGCCCCGATGAGACCACTGACAGCCCCCCAGACTGGTGCACCCCAAAGACAGGACTGATATTTTTGACAAAACAGGAGTTGTATATCAAATTATATGCCAAAATTGTCAGCAGTCATATATAGAAGAAACTAGGAGGAAATTTGGTACACGTCTGAAGGAACATCAAAAGGACGTAGAGAAAATGAGCAACATCAGTGATTCACATTCAGCTGATCCACACACAAAACATCCGCTACCCAGAATAATAAATTTGCATGAAGTGATCACGCTAAAACCCAAAGTCACTTCGTCAATTGGGGGCCAAGATAGTTGAAAGGGAACAACAAGAAAAAACGAGACAAATCAAAGAAGCAAACAAAATCGGGAAAACTCGGAACATGAGACGAGGGGGACACCAGCTGAGTCATCTGTATGACCATATACTGACATAACAGGTGTGTGTGTGTGTGTGTGTGTGTGTGTGTGTGTGTGTGTGTGTGTGTGTTAGATCTACACCATAACGTCTCAGGTCGAGTGACATGAGCGATATATAATTTCGTCACATCGTTGTACAGGTGAAAAATACAAATCGCTCACTCAGTCATAGCTTGACAAAGGGACCAGTCGGTCTTGAAATGTTGTAACACATTTAATACGTACATTGTTTCTGTAGAAAATTAAACTTCGATATCACATACTTCCAAACTAATGCATCTTATTGAAGATTTTATACCAAGTTCATAAAACAAAACAACAACTGTCGAACTCAAAGCGGAAACAAAGTTACAACAGCAAAGTATTTAACAGATATACAAACTAAGAAAAAAAATTAACGCATAAAGCCAAACAAAGCAAACATTTACTGCACTATTTGTCCATTCGTCTATTTAAGATTCATCAATGTAGTCTTATACATGTACTTTACTATATATTTATATATACATAGACATCAGAGGACAGGTGTATTGTAGTCTTATACTCTAGTAAGAATTTCACAACATATGTCTAGGTAGAAGGTACAGCAAAAAGGGAAAAGGTGCTTATAGCACACTTCGTGACGTTAAATATATATATTTGTTTGGCTACGTCATGTAATATATTCTTAATCAAGTGTTTGTTTTTTATATAAACCGTTCCAGAAAATATTCCAGCTACAAGGTCACAGCCATGAGCAATTCAGACATCAAAACACAACTCTGAAACGATGTATGAACATACACGTTTACAATTATCGAATGTCTTAGGGCATACACACACGTTCATGTATTTTCTCTAGAAATCTAATCTCATTTTCGAAGTGAATGTTTGCATGTATAATAGACCACTTTTTCAACTTTAACCCCCGGGTTCGTTTAGCAATACCACCAGAATGACACGAAGAGTTAAGATAAACAACCCCTGTCTGTCATATATGTTAATTTAGCCTGATTGATATACATGTAGTATGTTACTATATGTGTATATATTACATATAATGCATATCTAGTCAGGTCCTGTTAAGGTACAGCACACCACAGTGACATATGGCAAGAGGTCTGACATTGTGTTATTCTAGCATTGTGTTTTCCTTTAATTATCTTTTCGTATCTGCTTTTGTTTTGATTTCATTCATGTACGTTATGATTGATCTGGCATAAAAACGCCGACAGATCAAATGTGTTTAATATGTTATTAAACAGTTTTACAGTTAACGGTAAACGCAAGAACGAATCGAAAATACAAAATCTTACTTATTCTGTTTTTTAAACTCACAATCAATTTGTAAAACAATTATTGCAATACATTGTCCTTTTATAATCATATTGCATTGCAAACCATGTGAGACAAATAATGCAATATACTGGTATTGCAATAGTATTGCCCACTAGTAGGACATATCACTTGTCTTTAGCTTCCAATTCTATTACTAATTACTATTTTCATGATGATATATTTCCACTACAGCTCGAAAACATGTAAACAATGCCCTTTTTTTTTTATCAAAGGATGTCCACTGGAATGCAAGTTCATAATAAACTTTTCCCGTATGATTCATTGCTAGCCTCAATAGTATCATGATACAATGTACTTAATTTCATATGACATACTATTAAATCTCGCCTAATGCATATATTATATATTAATACAACCATTCTACGGTCGTGTAGTTTTAGTTTTAAATAATTTTAAATACACGTCTTTATCGTCAATTTTAATACCGATTTATAGAAAATTACAGTCGCCTGACAATTGATCGTTCAGAACCAGGTTGTATCAGATATCTGTTTTAATAAGATGATGTTCTTCCCATCAGGAGCATATATCATTAGAGTAAGCTTGTACATGTTGTTTAATCATGTATAAGACATGGTTTACTTGCACGAGCAATTTGGATGTTGTAAAAGCTTTTGTTGGCCCCTAGCGTCTCAAATGAGTCTAGAAGAAAGAAACAGCCTAATTGAGCAGAGTAATTCATTATTGGCATACTGTACACATGTATCTATTACCAAACGTTTTAGGTGCAGTCTCTTTTGTGTCTCTTACATTCATTTGTATAGACAAGATGAACCGTATTGCTACATCTACCAATAAATCTATCATCAACCCATCCTTTGTACCCCCTCCCCAGTTCAGGCGTTATATTGACAAATAATGTCTTCAGATAGCTATGTCGCATTAATATCTGGAGTGGACTTGACGTCATTTCTGTTTATAAGATCCATGTAAACAATAGTGTTGATTATTATGGAGGAGAGGGAGATAATTCTGTATTTATTAACACATAACTGTGATACAACTAAATTGTTATATACACCTCAAACTCAGACCTATGAAGTATTCCATTGCAGAATTTGAAGTAGCACAGATCTAAATGTATCTATATATGTGGTAAAAACAGTAAGTTCGGCAAAGAAGATACCATAAAGTGCGTACAGTTCATGACAAATAGACAAGATTAATTTCAAATTTATTTATTTTTAAAATTCTATGTTCAAAGTTGTCCAGAACATTAATAGAACACGGCAGAAAGAAAACATATGCCTACAAAACCCTCACAACGATTAAAATTCCACAACCTTTGGCTACAGCAGTTACTAGACACTTAAACTACTATTTCATGTACGCCTGAACAAATTCCAGCTACAAGGCTACAGCCATCCTCGGGGACTCGTAGTCTACCAGAAGTCGACCACATTGTCGCATAAACTAATCTCTTGCAATATGAAGAAAGAAAGCACATTTTTGTTGGAAGATACCTAAAACCACATGAAGCTAACAATTTACTGCTATTTATCATTTTATCCAGTTAGTTTTCTTTTCTTTTGAGTTTGAAGGTTTATGTTGAGTCTGCACAACAGAAATATATATTTTCAGTGAAGTAAAAATACAGCCGTTATTAAAATTCCCCCCAAATACGTCGTTGACATTAAAAATATGTCTTTAACGTTTGAAAAGAAAGTAGATGACTTGACCCGTCCTGATACATTTCCTTACAGGTACCTCGCCACGTCGAAGTTCGAGCCAGTCAGTGCTCGACGGGCATTCCCTTCCTTCGACGAGCCGAATATCAAAGCACAATATACGATTCGCCTCGTCCACCAGGACGGATACACAGCATTGTCCAACATGCCGGAAGTCGTACGTATGCTTGAAAAAATAATGAATTAATTCTCATCAGAGGTATCGAGCCAAAAGTTAAGGAGAAGTTAAGAATAAATATGAAATTTAATACTGTTGCGTAATCTTTTTATTTGAAAACAACAGGCATGTATGTTTGGATTTTAAAGTGATCATTCTCAGAAAATTAAAAAGAACTGTTATCGTTGCAAAATTGAAAATATCAATTTGTCAAAATGTAATGTTAAGTGTCACCGAGTTGATGAAAGTGGTAATAAATTGTTTTCAATAGTTAATTGTTGACCTGCTGTTTTCGAAGAACAAGTTGCTATCCGATCCGACATTTAAATGAGAATACAATCCCTGCATCATACCAATGTTAAATCACAAACCTCTGCCATGCATTCCACATAGATATTAACAGTACCTATGATTAAAGGTGCCTATCTTATGTTCAGACGGTTTGCATAATTTTGCCTGCTGTATTTAGGATTTCAAGGTTGTTGAAATGTATTGTTTGATTGCAGACGATAGTGCCCTGGTCCGAGGACTCCAGCCTGAGGATAACGTCCTTCCAGAGATCGGTCGACATGAGTACCTATCTCGTCTGCTTCATTGTCTGTGATTTCCAGTATCTCGAGTCGAGGACCAAATCGAACATTCTCGTATGTATAAATTCTCATCGAGAACATTCCCGTATGTAAACGTCATCTAACATTCCCGTATGTAAACGTCACGAAACATACCCGTATGTAAACGTCATCAAACATTCCCGTATGTAAACTTTATTAAACGTATCCGTATGTAAACGTCATCAAACATTCCCGTATGTAAACGTTATTAAACGTACCCGTATGTACTATCCTCACCGAACATGCTCATATTAATGTCATCAAACATACCCGTATGTACGATCTAATCAAACTAATACAAATGTAAACGTTCAAGCGTAAACTCGTATGTCAATTTCATGTTACAGCTTCGACGACTCGATATGTTTAATCGCTTTAAATTGTAAACTAAACATCCTCTGTTTTAATCAACTTTTTCGAGACCAGGTGTCCGTCAGACCCATGAATTGGAGAACGCAATCTATTTACAGTCAATAATACTTTTCGAAACTTATTGTTATACCAAGCCCTGGCGAGTTTGATTGCAAGCATCTTTGAAAATTCTTACATGTCGTTCATCGTAAAAAAAAGTCGTTCATCTATTTTTCATGCCTCGTTATCATCAAGTTTTGACACATTTGGAAATTTGCTTGAATTGATATAATGCAGATGAGCAGATAAATGCATCACTCTCCTTCATATATTTCAAGGTTTATTTGTATTTTCCCTAAATCCGTTTAATCCATTGACTCAGTATAAAATGATGTATACAACACACACTCTGTAGATCGGAGTGCCGAAAGATGTTTGTGGTAAAATTATATAACACTTGTGTATAATGGGGAAACAATCCTTTCGTTCACTCTCTCATAGATTTAAATATTTTTTCTGATATACGTTCCATAAAATGGAATGAAAATTGTTGAATATGCTGAAGTATCTGGTCTTATATTCAAATCAAAATGTCACCACAACAATAAACATCATATGTGATTTCAGATATAGACCAGATATAATACTAGACAATGCTTCTTAAAATATTAATCGGTAATTTGTGTAAGAATTAGTCATCTTTAAAATCTTTATTAATAAGCATCAGCTTATCGCAAAAAAGAGATTGAGTTTAAACAGGATTGGTTTCAAATCCGATTGTTGAATTCTTTTGAAAAGATGATGTTTGAAGGGGTTTATCTATTAAAATGTATGATACGTCCTTAATATGAAGACCTATTTCCGCACCTGTAGTCGAAACCACCCTTTTCGTTATCTACACTTGTAGGTAAGGACATTTGCCACCCCAGACAGAGTGAACCAGACCAAGTTCTCACTTGACATTGCTGTACATTCCATGGACTTGTATGAACAACTGTTTAACGTGTCTTATCCCCTACCAAAACAAGGTCAGTTTGGTCATCTTTAGATAATTTAATAAGTTGTACAACAGTGAGAACGTAAAAGTGAATTGTTATAACTTGTTTTATTATACGAGCAGCAAAATGTAAAATTACACGTCACATTTCAATATTTTAATGCAGACTAATCTTAACTTCATTTTCACTATCAACTGAAAGAGCGTTTGATAAAACGTATTCAATTCATTGATATGTAACTAGGGTAAATTTAACGCGTTTATATGTAAATTTGTTTCATATGTAGATTTGATAGCGATCCCAGACTTTATATCCGGTGCTATGGAACACTGGGGTCTCATCACCTTCCGGGAAACCAATATGCTCTTTGACCCGGAAGAGGCTTCATCAGCCAATCAGCAACGAGTAGCGGTTGTTGTCACGCACGAGATTGCACATCAGGTATACTATAATTATGCATTATATATCTATAGCGTAATAACAGTCGTGTATTAGGTACTTCTTTGTATGTGATAAAAACGTCAACCTGGTAACTAGCTCAATATAAACATACATTATCACGTTCATAGTTAATATGCATGGTGTTTCAATATGAGTTTTCGTTATCTGATGTCACAAAGTTTATCCCATCCAATTAGATTAAACGAGAACGTGGATGCATTATGCCACTGTATGACACTGTGTTAAGAACTACAAACTAATGACTATAGAAACTCTGAACAATGAAAATATGTTGATGGTTCTTGTCATAGATTTCCCGTGAAGAGTGTGTATACAAAACCCAAAATTGGACGTGAATATCATTTAACGTTTTTAGTCTCGCCGCCACGAAGTAGAGGAAGCGAGACTAAGGTGTTGCTTTTCCGGCAGCGGTGGCGTCGATATTGAATTTTTGTGTTAGTTTCACTGAAAGTATAAGTACAGAACAAGACCATCCAAAGTTAGACCATAGATCCATCGTAGGTAGTACATCTCAGCACATGCATCAAATGCTGGATGCTGCCTACCTTTCATGGTCCAAGTGCTACACGAACCAAACTTGACATGTGCATTGATGGTCACAGCCGGGCACAGGCGAGACATATCAATCCGAATGGCTTGTTCTTCAGTAGAAACAACTTTAAGTTGTGTATTTCTATTTCTGTAATACAAATATTTTATATGCGTATCAATGTGACATTAATTATCATAACGTCGCTTTGTTAACTTGGTTAACTATACAAAGTGATTGAAATTGGTTATCAGAATTACTGAAAAAAAACACGATTGTTCCTTAGATTCGAGTTTTTTGTTTTCCATATTATACTTTTTGTAATCATTTAAATAAAGGTATTATATAGGTTACTGTTTTAAGAATGTAAATATAGGCAATATGAATGCTGATTACAAGAAAACCAATCGTAAAGCAATGTTGTACATTTTTTGCTGTGTACTATGTCATAACCTGTCGTCTGGAAGCAGTTTCATGTTCAATTCAACTAACATCTTGATGTTTTCCAGTGGTTCGGTAACATAGTAACAATGGATTGGTGGGATGACCTGTGGCTCAATGAGGGGTTCGCTAGCTTCATGGAGTACCTTGGGGCTGCCTCCTTCAAACCGTCATGGGACATGGTATGATAATTTGAATTTATATTAGGGAATATAACATTCTGTCACAGCCAACAATAAATCTCATTCATTTCATCGGTTGATCAGTTGCATTTGATGCACGCATCGTGACTTAAAAATCATGTGCTAAAACAAAAAGGCACGTGCTAAAACAAAACAACTAAACGCCTTGGCTGTGGGTCTTGTTCTGTTAGGACGTAAAACACAAACAAACCAAACAAAACAAAACCATTTTAGAATGTATCACTACTTTTTCATCCGACACAGATGGAACAATTTGTGACAGAAGATGCGCAGCCCGTAATGCTCACAGACTCTGGCATGGCTTCTCATCCAATCATCGTCGAGGTTACAAGCCCCAATCAGATCAACGAAGTATTCGATAGCATTTCCTATAGCAAGGTAATTGTACTCAATAATAACATATTTTATTATTGGTTTCCAGCGATTTTCAAAATTTAAGCATTAGTGAAGAATGGTACATTTTTATTGTAATTAAAGTCGTCTCATTGCATTTTAATGTTAATAAGCTTCAAATTCCTATGTGTGTTAGCCAGCGGAACATGGCTGATTTGTGATGTATAGGACTGGTCTACTTTCGAATCTACATCAATAGAGTTTTCATTTCTTTCAAATAATTGGATAGGGTATATAAATAGCAGGAAAAGTAACTGTAGTTCACTTGAATTTGGCTACCTATTATTGACACAAACTATGATGGGAACTGTTTTGCTTTATTAAAGGACTTACTGTACAGTTTTGTCCTCGCGAGGTTCTAATTTCCTCGAAAGGACAACTTTGGAAATTAAAATCAATTTCATTTATTCTTTCTCCAGCACATTGTTTCATGGCCACTAGACTTGAAATACACAAAAAATAGACCATTTTAGTAAATCCACGAAAAGAAGAACCTTTGAAAAATATTGTACTGGTGGTATTAATGTTTCGTTAAGAATTACTGGAAAAGTAACGAAAGCTTTTCCAATATTTGGATAAAGGGAAGTAACTCATTTGATCTTAAATACGAAGAAGAGGTTAGGTCATCAGATTCCTTGCAATTTATTAGAAAATCTATATTAAGGCGAAAAAAACCCAACAAGTTATATGTTGCATTATTATACCGTGTACTTCAAATTACATGTTTCTTCAAAAACCTAAAAAATAGATAATGGCTTATTACAAAACTGGATTGCCACAAAGAATGACATGTTTCATTACATTTCACATCCACTTTAATAGCAAGCAGTCCTTTTGTTTTTCACAAAATCTGTTTAATATTATATAGATATATTAAACAGTAGATCAGTTGGTATCATTTCACATTTTGTATTTCCAGGGAGCGAGTGTTATCCGAATGCTTGAGTCAATTATGGGCAGAGACAAATTCTTTCTGGGTGTTGGGGTAAGTATGTATTTGTAGACAAATAATCATAACAACGAATTCTTTCTGGGTGTTGGGGTAAGTATGTATTTGTAGACAAATAATCATAACAACGAATTCTTTCTGGAATGGATTTTGTTCTCAAAGATTTAACATTTTAAGTATTGAGGTTACTCCATACGAATATTTCATGAAAACTAAAATCTTAGCAAAGCATTTGACATAGTCTTGAAAAACACCCATTGGGGTATTAGTTTAAAATTGTTCTACAGAATTAAATCCAATTTTGGGATTATTTCTGATCAGGCTACAGTTGTTTGAACAAGCTGTAAAAAATTGAGTATTATTTTAGTTTAATGTTTAACCTATACTATTACCCATTTTCCTATTGTGTTTATCTTTTGTCTCGGTTTTATTGCTTATATTTGGTTAAACTTTTGTTGATATCTCTATTATGTCGAATTCATTGCAAAACCCCACCATGGTAATGTTGAGTTTTTGATTGTTTAATAGAGGATTTGAAAACATACAAGGTGTTATTTTACCTTAAAATTTGGTAAAAACTGATGATTGTTAAATAAACGACGTAAGGCCCTGATGCAGCAAAAACATCTCCTTACTTAAAATCCAATCTCCCTTCCTTGAAATACGAATCACCCTACTTTGTGTTCCAAAGGTATCATATTGATGTTAATGTTAGTACTTAATTTTACACAATTTACTAAGCAAGTGTACAAGAGGAATGTTTTTGACCGTATTTTCATACCAGTATCACCCTCCACAATTTAGTTATCATCATGTTGTGATAATGACAGCCTATTTACATTTGTAAATTTGCTTAAAACTCTACAGTACCTTACTATTGATCTGAGACTTTTTTTGTCCTATTCCTATAATATAAAATGAAGTAATATATAGACATGTAATCACTATCAGTCGTAGAAATATGAATACCGTCTATATGTATTTTAACAATAACATAACAATAACAAAGGTGTATTTGCACAATAGGGCCTCCAGCCCAAAGTACCATTTCAACATTTCGACATCAAACAATGGTACATGTGTTCCAAATACACAAAGGACTAACATTTCACTATATCTGGTTGTCGTCAAATTGTTTATTCTTGTCAAAAACACACTGTTTGATATACGGGTAATGGGTAAAGGTTTCTTTTACAGAAATACTTGAAGAAGTACGCCTGGGCTAATGCTAGAACTGATGACCTATGGTCAGCTTTAGGCATGGTGAGTAATAGAATGTGTGCCTGGTACGCACCTAACGTTATAAAAGCGGAGAGAACCTGACGAAGGCCAAATATGGTAACGGAAATAGTCGCCCTCAAATGAAACTGATTTAGTCTATTTATATATTTTTTGTCAGGGAACCATTGTGTTTTCCAGTTTGTTTTGATGTTTCCTCTGTTGTTATAATTATGAGTTCCGATGACAGACCTGAGTTAACTTGCTTTTAAGTTAACTGTTTATTCATTATACTAAAATAGTATACAAATTTATCTATAAATAATTCAGCAGATTGGTCCATCCTGTATAGGCCATTTTATTGTCTGACGAATTAACATGTGAAACCATTTGTTTCCGTGATAAAACGTACTAAGTAAACATATATACAGACTCATGTGACAGTTTTGATTGGGTCGCATGATTTCCCATGTTTTTCTAGTGAGAATATTGTCGACCTTATTTAGTTATTGATGCAATAGACATTTTGGTGTGTAACATTATGGTTAATAATATGTGATGTATGATTTCTTAACTTTATATAGTCTGTATATAAGATGTTTTAATAAAAGCTTTTATAAGCAAGGTAACAACGCCAAAGTAAAACCAGAAACATGCTTTAACAGGACGTTTAACGCGGTTCATGCTTACACTTTCAAAATTAACAGATAAGCGTAAGCAACATACAATCTGTTATGCATGTTCAAATATGTTTGATACGAAGTTATGTATTCCTGTTTGGTATCAGATGTATGCCAATTTTATGTTATCAGGCGGACGAAGCTGCCGGCCTCTCGGTTAAGGCAGTCATGGACACATGGACGCGACAAATGGGTCTGCCTTATGTCGACTTGACCTTTAGCTATACCGAGAACAAGGTCACAGCTGTACAGAGACGCTTCCTTGCCGACAACTCCATGCAGTATAATGCTACCGACTCTCCATATATGTAAGTGAAATTAAAGCTATATGATACATACATTTTGTAACTGTTGGAAGATAATAGAATATATATATATATATATATATATATAAACATTCTAGTAAAGGTTTAATTAAGATATACAGGTACTATACACTAATTGATTCTGTTCTTGATTCTATTTGTCTAAAGATGAATATATCAATATTTGCTTTGCCTCCAAGGGACAGAAATACGCTGTGTCATCTTGGAAACGATTTTTTCATTGATCAGTATTATTACTGGTATGTGAGCGAAACTAATAAACGTTCTCGGTAGCAATCGGTTTTTCACAAGTAGTGGACTGCACCGCAGAGAATAAACAATGCCATTTTTATAAATCCTTTTAACCCATTAAAATCTTAAAATATGTCCAGTATCACAAAAATATTTCCAAGTACATTGAATTCACACTTTTAAAGTTATATCTATACTCTTTTGTCAAAACTCCATCACGTGTAAAAACAACGCATACAGATTTATCGTTATTTTCCTGTATGAAACTTATAGGCGCCATACAAGTTTTTTTTACTAATTGTTTTAAAAGAAGTAATGGGCTCATATGATAAGGTATGAACGGAGTTCAAGGGCCTTATCATAAAACTTGTGCTTGAAGTACTAAACTCGTTGATTTTATATTAATTTTGCTTCTGTGATTTCTATTCATTTAAAAAAAAAAATATCATTTAACTATTTTCATTGTTTATTCACTGCGGCCCTGACCCCTGTTAAGAATAATATATGCTATCGAAACGTTTAAAGGCTTACCTTATTTACCGTCCGAGGATTAATATTGATCTATGCTAAGTTGACATGTTTTGTCTAAAACGTAGATCAAGTGAAACAAACGTGGTATGTATCAGGTAGATAACCTAAGTTGTTGTTTTACAAATTGACTTTTCGTATACTTCCGTGGAAATACCCAAGGAAACCATTCGTATAAAACAACTCATTTTTAACGTACCACAATAAAAAAGAGGTTTAATATAAATATATTCATATAGCTTTAGCGGTCATCAACTATATATGCTGAGTTGATTGTGTATGTCTACAATCAATACACAAAGTGTTCTTAAGATTGAACTATATACTCTACATGTATGCGAAATAACTAACTTAAACTTCATCAAAAATACATATGATTTATCAATAATATTGAGTATTTTAGAATCCATCAACATTTTTTATATGCCTGTCAAATCTTGGTCAATAGCTGGATAATAAAACTGATTATAAGGAAAGATATTACTTCACGGAAGCTAACTTGCATCAAATTTCACTATGAACAATTAATAAAATGTGTTTCTCAATTAATGGCGAAAAGACAATCATATATGGATTTTGCATTAGAAAAACAAGTTTTATTATTTATCGTATGATTGTTTAGGTATAAATGGTACATACATCTAGATCACGTGTCTAATACCGGAAGCGGAAGTCCTGTGTGGATATCGAAAAACGAGGATTCCGGTAAGTAATCAACCGATTGTTGTTACATTCACTTATTAAGTGTTATGAAATACAGATGGTTGATAAATAAATTGTCTAATAATGCATTATCATGTGAACAAATTATATAATGTGCCTACTGGTGTTTTTCTTTTTGTCTGTGTTTCTGTTATTTATACTAACATTTTATTACTTTTCCAGTTGAATTTGACATCAGTGTGAGTCCGCAAATGAACCAATCAGTATGGTTCAAATTCAATGTGAACCAGACTGGATTTTACAGAGTGAACTACCCACCGAACTTGTGGATGAGGTTTGCTACTATGTTACAGAACGGAGGACTGCAGGTGAGCACGGCTCGTTTTAAAACTTCCGTCAAAAGAATATAATGTAACACTATAAGTTTCCATGTTTCACTGCAAGGAAAAAACTAGATAATTCCACAGAGGTTTTGTTCTGATCTTGACTGATCTCCCATATTTGTTTTTGAAATTTTATTGGGCCATATGTCTCTCGATGACCAGTGGATAAAAGCAGCAATAACGAGTTCGGAGGTGCAGGATATGAAAATAATTTTGGCCCAGTTCCCTTTTGTCTCTTCTAAAACTTAACATAAAACGTTGTTATTCCTTTTTAGCTATTTAGTTTGTTTCTTCCTTTGAAGTTTCCTCTTACTGTGGGTTTGTTTTAAGAAATGATTTATCAAAGCTATAGTCATGCAGCATTCTAATGTATGTTTTGGCAGTGGTACAAAGAACCTTTATTGAACATTCCAGTTTGATATCTACTGTTATCAGAAACATTGACAGTCATGTTAATAAGTACATTATGATACTCTGTTAGTATGGTGCTTTGCTCTCAAAAACAATTATTAAATCATTGCATTTTTGGATGCTATTCTGTTGCTGGATATCTGATTATATATTTTATTTTTGTAAACAATTACATGTAAGCACACCTTTAGTATCACTTTTGGCATCCTGCTATTAATGAACAATGTTTGTTGTTATTGTTGTTTTCATTTTTTTCTTTTATTACTTGCTTCTAAAAATTTCACTGAAATGAAAATACTATTTTTATATGAAAACGCTGTCTTTCACCATATTGCACCATCCACCCAAAACACAATAATGATAACATGTTATGGGATATGAAAACAATTGATCCATTGTAAAAGGTGAACTGGTTTTGTCGATTTTCAGGAGTTATCGAACGTTGACAAAGCTGGACTGATAAACGACGCTCTTAATTTTGCGCGTGCGGGCCATTTGCCTTATGACGTAGCACTTAGTATGACGTTGTACCTGGATCAAGAACACAATCATCTACCATGGGAGAGCGCCTACACTGCTTTCGCATACATTTCGTCCATGTTTCAATATGGTGGATCTTACGGGGCATGGAGGGTAAGTTTTAAAAATGAATAAATAAGGGATATCTCAAACATTTGGAAGTCATTACAATTTATGCATTAACCTTTGTTATAACACCTGAATGACCTATTTTTTGTGACGAAGATACAAATGGAGGGTAACCTATTACGAGAACGGAGTATGGTTAACGATCCATTTTTTTTAACAAACATCTATATCGCATATTGCTGACAACAGTCGAACATAATCGATTTTGTAATGATATATATGTGCTTCTTTTGGACAGAAATATGTCGTGATGAAAACAAAGCCGGCATTGGAGCAGCTTGGATGGTCAGATACTGGTTCACACCTGCAAAAGTGAGTGTTATATAAGTACTACTTTATTTTTTATATACAGACACAATAACGGTTTACGCCTCACAGACTTCTCAGTGGAGATCACTGTGTTTATTCGTCACTGATGGTTATATATAAAACAATGTTAATAATTGCGCAGGTGTGGACATATGTGTAAATATTGACAAAAAGTATCGAGAATAACGAAAATAGTATCTTATAATTATGGTAATGTACTGTGTTATTTTGTGTGGAAATATACACGCTATACACAGTAAATTGATCGATAATGCAATAAAATTTGTCAAACTTAGTTTTGTGTAACTGAAGTGTAGCTGGTATGTTACATATAGAGACATGTATACCGATATACGCATATGTTCGTTTTTATTTAGCATCTATATTTAATGACATTCTAGACGATATGATGTAACATGCTTATTGCTTGTATAATCAAATACATGTACCATGTTAATTCACAGATTGATGCGAACGAACCTCATTGCCCTGGCATGTGGTCATTCTGATTCAGACTGCCTCAATAACGCAACTGTCCTGTTTAGGGCTTGGCTGGACAATGGTCAAGTGTAAGATTGTTTTTAATTCATACTAACTACATTCTTCACGATAATTTTAATTCGCAAAAGAATTAACGACCGCTATATGTACTTCTTATAAATATTTCTAAATTAATAACCATGATATATTTTAGTAATTCACGATCGTCATTCCTCGAAAAATAATGTAAAAATAATTTTGTCGCGGAACGCTTGTGATTTACAGTCTTGTTTTCCTCCTTTGTTCCTTTAACTTTAGTGAAACGATTTCACTTATTTGAAACATCAGATGAAATTAAATAGCGTAAATAGATAAAAGTTAAAGTATGAACAAAGACAATTGTCCAGAAAATAGGCATCCAGAATGGGTAAGAGACTAAAAGAAAAGGAAATACTAAAAGAACTGAATTCAAAGCAGATTCTCTGGAAGAGCAGGTGATCCTTGCACCACATAAATTACTCTTCAATTTGTTTGCCGTCAAGCCCATGGTGGTATGTCAGTCAACAACGATCCGAGACTTTATTATTAAGATATTAGATATTTTAGATATTTCAACTGTTCAATGTGTTCAGTGTAAAATATAGTCTCTTCTGTCGACAACCGTGCATACGTATATGTTATTAGTAGACAGGGCACATCCCTATCGAAATTCCTGATGCAAAGAACTGGCTTGACAGCTAATTTAAACTTGTTTCCTGAAAGGAGGATTACGGTTCGATATCTATTTTAAGGTCTTTACCTTCATTTGCTTAAAATATGTTCTAGTCAAACATAAAAAACATAGGAAGCATACTTATGTGTCCCCATCAATAGTATCTAGCTGTTGAATGGGTGTACGATATATAGAACGTATATCGCCCGCTGAGACACTTTAAGATCAGTAGCAAGCAGATAGGCGAGAACATAATTCCGGTTTCTCCAAATACTCATTCAATGTTTATTTATTACTCAAGATTAGTATTAATATTCCTATATTAACAGTGCCAATGTTTGCCTTGTGGTTTCTCTGAAGATTTCTCTCGTATTACTTAAATAACAGTCATAAGCCAATCCGAAATAGCGTAAGTGTGGATTTAAAGCTCTGTAAGGATAGACCAGGACCCGTATTAATGAAACAATTTTCATGCTCAAACACAGAATCTTTGCTCAAGCCAAATTCTGACAATGCTCTCATATCATTCAACACGGTAAGAAAGGCAAGTGCAAACATTGAGAAATATGTTAAGCTTTTGGCCTCCCTGAAATTCTGCCAGGTCACTGAAGAAATATAGCGTAACCAAGGGAACAAGACATTTGAATTGAACACAGAATTTAAGTTTGAGCATGAGAACAATTTCATGAATACGGGCTCCAGGACGCGAGGCTATGTCTTACTGTGGACTATTTGTTTTTAAACTATTGCAAGTTGTGTATAAAAAGTATAAGTATAGGTATCAATATTTGATTTGTCATATATACAATGTACGATAACAGCTTTGATTTTGCAAAGCTGTCTTTAATGAAGAAATCTACATATTATTGTATTCTGAAATGGTAATGGATAAGAAGCGTACTCTGTAAATACACTTCACCTTGAAAATCGTGAAACATAACTGACCCGATAACATTCCTGTATACAGTACATAATTAAGCTCGTGCATAATGAACCCCGAGGGCCTAACTTTGTTGATCCTAAATAGTAACAAAATATCTTTCAAGAGTTTCAAGTTATACGAAGTATTATCGGTTCCTTTGTGGTATTTTGTCCTTTCTCTAGTAATAACAGAAATGTCTTTCCATAGACCGCTACGTTGCTTTTGGGATAACTTATTGAACAACATGTGATTTGCAAGGATAAAATGGCGGTCTCTTAAGAGATAAGATTGCTTATAGTTGAGGTGGTCTTTCTAACAGGGTTGACTCTTAATAGACATTTTCGGGGTTGTTGATATCCTGAAAAACGGTGTTCCGTCTTTCTTGTATGTCCAAAGTATGCAAGTTGTGGTACATGTTCATACATATATGTACATGTGTACTGGAAAAAGGAAAATGTATGCCTTTGATAGTATCAATTAATAAAGCACCTATTGAATACCGTGATAACTTGAACTATCTACATTGGTTTCAGTATCCCACCAAATCTTCGCCAGTTGGTGTACAGATACGGTATGGAGAATGCTGGGACAGATGAGGACTGGAACGCTATGTGGGAGAAATACACTACAGAAACAGTCCCTCAGGAAAAAACAAAGCTGCTGTATGGTCTTTCTCGTACGAAGCAAGTATGGCTGTTGTCAAGGTAACGTTCGATTATTATTATTCCATAAACTTTTCTCATACTTAATATAAAAAATAAAAGAATAAATTATGAAAAATAGCCACTTGCAATAGGAAGAAATGAAGCACATATTTGTTAGTTTAGACGCAGAATATCAAACAAAGTACACATATTCACTGTACCATATGGCCATTTCATCCTTAGGACGTATCGGGGGCTCTAAAGGTCAAACGTAAGGGGGAACCTTAATTATATGGACTTTTGAATATGAAAATTCGTCCCTTTTTTGGTTCCTTCGTTTTACTTAATTCACACAACCCATTAATGCTCTCTGTATTTTAACTAAATGCCACGCATGTTGGCCCCTGTATCTTCGTGGCTATGTTTTTCAGAAGAAACAAAACAAATAATCTGCTGCATCAGCTGCATTAAGTGACCTGTATGCTTTTTTATGTTCCCTTCTACCATTTTTATACATCACTATCTTTGTTGGCACACCTTACGTTTCGACCGTTATGAGCTGGTAGAACAAATATTGATCACTACATTATAAATAGACCTGATCATTGTGGGTCTATTGTTCATTTAAAGAATTTGACATCGCGACGACAAATGACGTGGATTTGTCGTATAAAAATCAGCCAATCGTTCAATAAGTTAACCCATGTTGTTCGTTTAATCAAAATTACTTCCCCTTATTTATACAGGTACCTTGGAATGACAAAGAATGAATCCTTAGTAAGGTCACAGGACTTCTTCGCCGTTCTTATTTATATATCCGGAAATCCAGTCGGCCGGAGTCTCGTTTGGAACTGGGTCAGACAAAACTGGGATTATCTCGTTGGCAGGTATGAAACGAATATGGACTTTGTCTCTAGAGCTACTAGTTTGTGAAGCAATAAGATGATGAAAAATATGGGCGCAATATAGTTATGGACCTAGCTATACGAGTTTACATAGGCTATCCTGCTATTACACACGCCGTTAAACGACCGAAGCAGTTAATAGAAACGTTTAATAAAATAAAACCAACCTGCTATTCAATAGTTACAAAACATTACTGTATTTGAAACAATAAGAGAAAAGTATATTGCATAAACTTCTGTCTTTTGAATGAGTTGGTTTTATAACTAAAATGTCAGGTAAATGTATCGAAGTTTTAAAAAATCACCTATAAACGTGTCAAAACTAACATTACGTGAGCGATTTACATTGTTAATCTGTCCTACGATGTGACTAAGTGATAAACATAGGAGGCACGGTAGTCTAGTGGTAGAATGGCGACCGAAGGGTTGAGTCACGGCACGGCACTGTGTTGTATCTTCAAACACTATATACTATACTCCACTTGTTCTAGTCTACTTAGCTGTAAATGAGTACGTGGTTGGGCAGTGCTAGAATTGTTGAATGCTAGCTGTTAGCGCCGAAATGGCAGATCCGGCTGTATGCTCCCCATGAAGTTGAGAAAGATATTGACAAGTTGCAAAGGCCCTATAACCACGGATAATCATTTGTGAACCACTTTGAGACAATCTACGAACTAGGTTGTGATAAAGCGTTATATAAGAACCTCGAAATATTATTATTATTTTATTATTATATCAGTTGCACGCCTACAGGACATTTACCACCAACAGATAGAGCGTATACATACTACCATACACACTACCATATATATATATGTAATCAAACATTTTAGAAGCAAGACTATCAGGCAAATCAAAATTCCTGCTGAATAAGGTGTAAAAGAGAAGATAAAAAATGTACCAATGAGACCGCCAAGGCATTTTACTGTTATCCATTGTCATTGTATGTCACTCTGCATACATTGTATAAGTACGGTGAGACTAATGCGGGACTTTTTGTTAAATCGGTGTTTGATGTAAAGGGAATATTGAAAAAAAATAATAATATCATAACTGATTCCATCTGGCATAACATACAGACAAACCAACGTGTGATAATAGGTACAAACATTGTTGTTTGTTTTGAAGATCATATACATGGTATTATGTCATACTTGTAGATTCACTCTATACTCCCGGTCGTTGGGGAGACTGATACCACGCGTCATCAGGACCTTCAATACAGAATTTCAGCTTGAGGAGGTAAGATCATTTATTTTATATATTTATTACATGTTAATCTAGTGTAACGACTTCTTTTGTTTGCCCGAGCTAATCAATGTACATTTATATATATGTTTAATTAAAAAAATATAAAAAACAGCCCCCATGACTATTTCCATATGCAAAAATGAACCGAGATTATTGAACTTTAAAAGCTGGACTTTACCATGGGTGTTATCCCCTTCCGAACTAAACAACTCGTTTTAACTTTTTCCGCGGCCTTATTAAATTGTTTTGCACGATTTACCAAATGATACAAAAATATTCTACGGGACTGCTCTGCGTACTTTAGTTTTAGTATGTCCATAGTATAGCCTAGGTATTAGAGCGTCCGGAAAAATGAAGACGCAGAAGTGTCATGTTTAAATTATATGAACAAAACATTTGAATTACCGTCATTTTGATATTTTAATGTCACACTACTTTTTTTTAGATTTTATTAATTTGAAATATTTGCTAAGAGTTTATTTTTCTTTTTAATTTATTTCATCGGCGATTCCATTATAGACATACTCTTTCTTTTAGGTGCTCGAGTTCATTGGAAAAAACCCGGATGCTGGAGCCGGTGCAAGATCACGTGACCAATCCTTGGAAACGGTTCGCAGGAATATCGCATGGATGGAGCGCCACCAATCGACCATTACAGAGTGGTTATGTCGTCAGACATCGTGTTGAGTGGAGGAACAATAAACTTTATATCAACAATGGAGAAATGATAGAGAAATTGCAGTATTCAGAGTCTTCTTAATAACAGAATCCAGCAAAGTCAAATTACTATCGATCATAATATGGTATATTACTCCGCCGTTATGGAATAAAAAACAAAAATGCTCTATGTTTCACTAGATGAATTACAAAAATTTGGTATACGGAATAACATTGGTACGATCCTTTGATACAACCCACATGTATATGAATCTAAATAGAATTCATACGACCTTAAGTATTCAAATCAGTTTTTCAAAATATCAAATGCAATTGATAGAACTGACGTGTTCTATGTATAGTGTACTAGACTAGCTGTAAATATAATAGATGTATATATGTACATATGAATGTTATTTTATTTACAGGAAGCTTTCTTACGCAGATATTTGGTAATATAAAATAATATAAAAATAATAAAAAAAGATTTTTAAAATATAAGTAAAAAAAGCATGTACTTAACGAAAACGTGGCCTTGTATATGACGCACTTCCTATATTTGTTTTTTTATTATTAATGTGTGAAAAACCAGAAATTATCGAACCATAATGTAACGTTATTAAATATGAAATAAAGAAATTGAGAATGACAATTATGAAAGAAATTTAATTTTGTTTTGTATCTTTATTTCAAACAATTTATACATCGGCATTTTATAAACTTTGACACAAAAATGACGCAGGGCATTTTTGCCCAATGTATATGGGTGTTCCCTTCCTTCCATTTTTAATTCAAGATTACATTAATTAGAGCTATTTACATTGCATATGTTTCTCATCGTTTGTCAATGGAGGGAAACAATAAAATCTGTTTTGGGAAGTTTTGATATTTTATTCGATGATATCACGTACTTCTTTTTAGAGATTATTACAAAACTGAGTGTTCCAATAGAAACCCATCTATAACCCTTTTATAATATTATTTTCCTCCATAATCGTCGTCACCCTTTCTTATCTATATTTAATCCTTGACTCCCATCCACTACTCCAGGCATAATCACACTATTCTAACCCTCATCAATCGACCTATTTTACACAAAACTTTTTTTTATGCAAATGTATCATCTCTGTTTTGACTCTTATAACTTTATATCGAATACATTATGCTTTTCTATTCAGAGACCATATTAACTGTCTTCTTTATCGCTAATGTCTCTCACTTTGTCTCTCTCGCTCTATCTCTCTCTCGCTCTGTCCCTCTCGTTTTTTCCCTCTCGCTCTGTCTCTCTCGCTCTGTCTCTCGCTTTGTCTCTCTCGTTTTGTCTCTCTCGCTTTGTCTCTCTCGCTTTGTCTCTCTCGCTCTGTCTCTCTCGCTTTGTCTCTCTCGTTTTGTCTCTCTCGCTCTGTCTCTCTCGCTTTGTCTCTCTCGCTCTGTTTCCCTCGTTGCTACTATAATTCGTTCCCCTTTCAACTCCTATTACCCCAACCGATTCTGCCGTATCCCTTAGGCACCTCCAATCCCTCTGCTATACCTATCATGACCCTTCCAACTCTCAACATATATTTATAGACCCTTCACCTGCAATTTTGTCTCGCCGCCACGAAGTAGCGGAAGCGAGACTAAGGTGGTACTTTTCCGGCGACGGCGTTAACATTAAGTTTTTGCGTCTATGTTAGTTTCACTGAAAGTATAAGTGCTAGACCAACCAAACTTGGACCATAGATGTACATCTCAACCTGTCCATCAAATGCTGGATGCAGCCTATCGTTCATGGTCTATTGACTTTGTCACGATCTTCATCAACATTCAGTTTTTTTCCGTTTAAGTTAGTTTCTCAGATATGTGCATTGATGGTCAAAGCGGGGCACAGGCGAGACATACATAATGTTTCAATCCTAATGGCTTGATACTCACTGCAACCACCCATTACTAAACTGTAATACCGATTTTTAATGCTCCCGAAAAAATGTGATAGACTATTTCAGTTCCGGTCCTGACACTACGTACCGCTATATCGACAAATCACCGGACGAGTGACAGGCAGCCAGGGGTTAAGTGACCCGTAAAAGTACAGATTTATACGGAATGTGATACAAGATCTGTGGACAGCATTGGGCCTCATCTCCTTATCCAGACCTTAAGCCGACAGGGCGGCACGATCATCGCCACTTACGGGGCTGCTAATATCGTCAAATATGACCGATCGCATCGGTTAACAATGATTTATAGCGCTGGGGGATGTTAGACGGATAACAGGCGGTCCACTCTCCTTCCATCCGAGTCGGGAAGGGAATTAGTGTGGGCATACGATTTTTGTCCTACTCATCATTCTCAACCTAAGTCCTATAGACACTTGTGTTTGTTTCTAAATTCAAATTAATTATCTACCGGTATCTCTCCCCGCGACCATTCCTGGGTCAATGCAACGTTCTACAAGCAGCACTCGCGAACGACTTGCGTGTAGCCCTCGAAAATCCGATCTTACAGCGAGTTTTCACACTCAGAAGTAGCATAAGATGGTTCTATTTTCATCACGGTAAGGAAAATTGGACAAACTATCCGAACTAATGAGCTTAAAGGTAAATCGCGAAAGAGAATGCAATCTGATCAGAAGACTGTCTCCGATTCCTAAAGCCTGGTTAGCTTGACACAGTTTTATAGATTTAAAATTTAGGACTTCAAAATTTCTTTAATCGACATTATGTAGAAATTAAATATTTTTTTTTTGCAATTGTTATTCCATAATATCAAATTGTTTCATCCTGCACTTCAAATACAAATATTACCACATGTTTAATGCCGCTACACAATCAATAAATGCTGGTCAATCTTGCACCATTCGACTTTACGTCGTAGTGTATTTCCATACAGAGCCAAGTTTATATCAACTTCTTACATAAGTAATAGTGTTGGACTGTTTAACTCGAATAACTTGTCAAATTTTCGGATGATTGTGAGCTGTTTGAGATTCCATAGACCCTATAACGCTGACAGAATAATAACACAGAGGTCCTCTTCTGTCTTGGAGTGAAATTGATTTTGTCTTCCATTTCTACTGCAATAGCGTCTCGACTCTCGACTTATGGGCTCTAATCCAACCGCACCGTGTAATCCATTTCAAAAAGATAAGCGTCTCGGAGTCAGGAGCTGGAACCAATATGTGTACATTTGTGATATATTTTCATATCTGGTTGTTGTGATATATAACGTTTTATTGGTGTATTGATATGCCTAAATCATTGAAACATGGTGTACTTTCTTTTACCACGCCCCAATATTTAAAAACACACATACACCCCCCCCCCTAACAACAACAACAAAATAAGGTAAATCAACAAAAATAATATAAAGAAAGAAAATAATCATTCAAAAATTCGAATCATGCTAAACAATTACTCGTAACATACACGAATGAGTCCCACTTTCAAACATCCCGTTTAAACATATTATCTGCAATTTTAGAAACCAATAAGTTAAACCTACATATTAACTACACGCATGTTCTAACAAATTAAATTATTACAATAAGTGTCTGTAACGCAGTCCAATTAATTATGCGTTTTCGTTTTGGTTAAAACATAAAAATGCATTAAGACATATGTTTAAACAGATATACCAAAACATTTAACAGACTAATATATGATGAAAACATCATTTACTGAAGTTATCAGTGGTTACCACACATGAATGATACCAAGAACTATCATATACATTCTGAACAACGATATTCGAGAAGACTAGTATTTCGTTCGATTTGTTTGTGTTTGACGTCCTATTTTAAGCTGTCTTGTATTCACTGATTTGTAAGATTTAATTTTGCACAATAACAAGCCCCTTTTCCAATTTTGTTATCTTCACATCATGGCATTTAACCCATACTATGAAAACAACGTTCATCTCGCTTCTAAACTCAGTGATATTTGCTTACAGTATGAACAATTAAATTAGTCACCATATTTACCTGTAGTATGACAGGAATGGTCATCTCACTACCAAACTATAAGATATTTACCTGTAGTTTGACAAGAATTAGTGGTCATCTCACTACTAAACAATATAATATTTACCTGTAATATGACAAGAATGGTCATCTCACTACGAAACGATATGACGTTTACCTGTAGTATGACAGGAATGGTCATCTCACTACCAAACTGTAAGATATTTACCTGTAGTATGACAGGAATGTTCATCTCACTACCTAACTATAAGATATTTACCTGTAGTATGACAAGAATTAGTGGTCATCTCACTACCAAACGATATCATATTTACCTATAATATGACAAGAATGGTCATCTCACTACGAAACGATATGATATTTACCTGTAGTATGACAGGAATGGTTTTCTCACTACCTAACTATATTATATTTACCTGTAGTATGACAGGAATGGTCATCTCACTACCAAACGATATGATATTTACCTGTAGTATGACAAGAATGGTCATCTCACTACCAAACGATAATATATTTACCTGTAGTATGACAGGAATGGTCATCTCACTACCAAACGATATTATATTTACCTGTAGTATGACAGGAATGGTCATCTCACTACCAAACGATATTATATTTACCTGTAGTATGACAGGAATGGTCATCTCACTACCAAACGATATTATATTTACCTGTAGTATGACAGGAATGGTCATCTCACTACCAAACGATATTATATTTACCTGTAGTATGACAGGAATGGTCATCTCACTACCAAACGATATTATATTTACCTGTAGTATGACAGGAATGGTCATCTCACTACCAAACGATATTATATTTACCTGTAGTATGACAGGAATGGTCATCTCACTACCAAACGATATTATATTTACCTGTAGTATGACAGGAATGGTCATCTCACTACCAAACGATATTATATTTACCTGTAGTATGACAGGAATGGTCATCTCACTACCAAACGATATTATATTTACCTGTAGTATGACAGGAATGGTCATCTCACTACCAAACGATATTATATTTACCTGTAGTATGACAGGAATGGTCATCTCACTACCAAACGATATTATATTTACCTGTAGTATGACAGGAATGGTCATCTCACTACCAAACGATATTATATTTACCTGTAGTATGACAGGAATGGTCATCTCACTACCAAACGATATTATATTTACCTGTAGTATGACAGGAATGGTCATCTCACTACCAAACGATATTATATTTACCTGTAGTATGACAGGAATGGTCATCTCACTACCAAACGATATTATATTTACCTGTAGTATGACAGGAATGGTCATCTCACTACCAAACGATATTATATTTACCTGTAGTATGACAGGAATGGTCATCTCACTACCAAACGATATTATATTTACCTGTAGTATGACAGGAATGGTCATCTCACTACCAAACGATATTATATTTACCTGTAGTATGACAGGAATGGTCATCTCACTACCAAACGATATTATATTTACCTGTAGTATGACAGGAATGGTCATCTCACTACCAAACGATATTATATTTACCTGTAGTATGACAGGAATGGTCATCTCACTACCAAACGATATTATATTTACCTGTAGTATGACAGGAATGGTCATCTCACTACCAAACGATATTATATTTACCTGTAGTATGACAGGAATGGTCATCTCACTACCAAACGATATTATATTTACCTGTAG